TCTCTTTTGAATAGTATCTGCAGGTGATTTGAAAGTGAATGAAGCGATTACTCCGGAACATCGAAAGATCGTGAATGATCTTTTTACGAATTATCATACTGGATTGATTCGCCATTTGGAGAAGGCTTGTGCTGTGATGAATGTCGTACAGAAGAAAGTGAAACGCCATGAGAGGACAAGGGGTAGGTTACCCTCCTTATAGTTGAGTTTCCTAGGAAGTGGGCTCACAAATTTTGTAATCGGGAGCACATCATGGATGGAGTCCTATCCATGTCGCCCAATTTTGTGTCTTTCCCGGCGACACTTGTTACTGCACTAGATAAGAAAGAATTATTATTTTTACATTGGCTGGCTCCTGTTACTCTATTTTTTTGAGTTCTTGTTGTATGCCGTCAAATCTCTGAATTCAAATATCCTACCATACTTTTATGCGATGATTGTAAGCTTCACCATCTCAGCTTCTTTACTACTTTTTTTATTGTGACATCCGCAGTTTCATGGCACGCCCCTTATCCACTTTTTTCTTATGTTGTTGCACAAGGAGATATTCGATGAGAGCAAAATTCAGAACAAACATAAAGGCTCTCTGGACAAGCGTAAGCGGGATCTGAAAAAGGACTGTGCAGTTTACCCTAACTTCTCACTCTGCCCATAATTAGGGTTTTTGAACAAAACATTATAAATAACGTGAGAATGATAGAAGCATATTGTTCTGTCCCCTCACAACTAATACAGGCCTGAGTCTTTCTCCACTCATGGTTTTTATTCAATCTCGTCGGATAAGATTCTTGTGAAGTTCAGGTGACGCAACAGTGGAGGAAAAGACGGAGTTGGAAACAGCACGCGCTGAGTATGAGCGCTTGAAAGCTTTGGCAGCGGAGTTGAGCAGCGCGCTTGGAGTACCGATGGTTGAGCTAAAAGAGGAGCCGAGCGATAACGAAGAAGACGAAATGGCAGCGATGGAGGTGAATGTTGGTTGTATGCGTTGTCAGTATCATCTAATTAGATTCGTTTTTTTTTGTAGATGGATAAAGCTCTCGCTGAGGGGCAGGTATCGCTATGGCCAGACGATGAGTCGCGTCTGTTCTACGAGAATTTGATTGATATCAGGAATATTGTGCCACGGAGTCTGTACAAGGTTCGCGTTCGTTAAGTCATTCAGTCAAAAAAGATTAGCTTTAGGGCTTTTCGTTCAGGAATCAGAGGAGCGGAACGATTCAAGAGAACGAACTGAAGACCTCTGTGGATGATATAGATGTCGATGGTCTTGAGGCTGAACCTTCGGAGCGTGAAGGCGATCCAGATATAGGGTATGTGGCATTGTAGCTGTGTGAATTTTCGGAATCTGGTTTTATTTGATGGCCTTTTTTGACTTTGAGCTCCATTCTGAGGACAGTTGACGGATTGGGTGGGGTTTGAGGTGTAAATTAGATTTTTCCCCACATAGGCTTGGCCTTTTTGTTTTTCTAGAACAAGTAGGTTTGAAGATTTTTGTGTCGCATTTAGGGAGAAGGAAGAAAACGTAGATGAGCCGTATCGGCCAAAGACGCCGCCATCACCAGCTCAATTTAATGAAGACATGACGAGCGCTGGTGATGCTTCGCTCATCACTTCCGAAGAAATGAAGCAACTTGCTCAGGTGAGCATCAGGGAATTGAATTTTTTTTTTCGTTTCCTGTTTACTTATGGTGAAAATGAAGCGGCTCATGAAACTCATAAAAAGAATTGTCATGTAGATAGTTCATTATCGCTCACTTTTCACACACTCGCACTTCTTTAATCTGAAAACTTGTACGGTTTTTTTCCCAGAAATTCTTCTTAAATCTCGATCACCTCGTTAACCGTGACACCACGGACCAGTGTGCCTCGACTTCGTTTCAAATTTGAATACGAAAGTAAGTGAGCGAGCTCATACGAATTGTTCCGAATATTCCTATTGGATAATGTTTTATTGTCTGGTTTATTAGAGTTATCGCAAAAAGCTTGTAAAAGTGCTGTATGGAGTGCCTTCATCACGTTTGGATTTGTTGCCGTTTTTACGCGTCGCCTGGTTGCTTCACATGTCCCCTGCGTGACTGCCCGACTTGACCACAGAGCTGTCGACACAGTGGCTTATAAAGCAATTCAGGTCAGTTTTGATTTGCTCTAGATCATTTTCTTCAGGGTATTTTTTTGCCTCACTTCGATTTACTTAATCAGTTTTATTTACTGATTCGGCGATCATTAATATCTGTGCCGTTCACGGGAGCTTCATGGAGCTACCCATCAAGTCAGTTTAGTGATCTGCGCAGCAAATGATCCAATCCTCCCTGGGAGAGATAGCGCGAGTCTCTCGATTATTATAAAGTTAGGGCTTAAGTCGTTCTGTTTCTAAGGTGGCTTTTCATAACTCGGTCTGGTAGTTTTGATGCGCTAGACTTGGCTTCGTTCACACAGCTGTGGTTCACATTTCTCCTCATTATTAGAGTCACGATCATGATCCTAAGCGTGCACTAAATAAATAAATAAATAAATAAATAAATAGAGTTTCGTGCAACCTCACATAAAGAATTGTTAGTGTGCCGTTTGCATGTGTGGATTGTAATAGTTTCTCCGTCTGTCTTTTATTTGTTCTATTTATTCATCTATTTATTCATTCATTTATTTACTTTTCTATGCATGGCGTGCATTTTGCAGGGAGTTCGTGCAGAGATGTGGTCAAGAGAGGGTTGAAGAGAAAATTAAATGTGTGATGTTCATAGGAGAATTGGTGAGTTCATCGTGTTCCTACCGTCCTCTCCTTTTGGGTCGAATTTTGGTCAACTTACGGTCTTCATTCAATCAGTGAATTGCAATGTTTAGGTAAAATTCGGTGTGATTCCCCGTGCGGAGGCATTATCGTGCCTTCGGCAGCTGGTATACGATTTTCGTGGTCATTCTGTGGATATGGTTTGTGCTATGATTGAAACGGCTGGATTCTACCTCTACCGGTAGGAATCCTTGACTTGATATTTCTTTCTATCACGCTGAGCTAGTTATGTATGAGCTGGAATGAATTAGGGATCGCTTCTGCCAAAGGCAAAGCCCACTGTGTTCGAATACTCATTCATATCTCGTGTTTTAGAAATAGCGATAGTCATCCCAAGATGAAAATCATTCTTGATGTTGTACAAAAGAAGAAAGAGCGGATTAAGGACGTTCGTCACGTGGTGAGTGGCCTTGAGCATTTTTTAAAGATATTTTTTCGGAATTACGTAAGTTGGTAACTTTCTTAACCACTTTAAACTTTTTTGAATAGCATTCTGGACAAGAAGAAGTGTATGGAATTGTAGCAAATTCAGTGGGTAACGCATGTGTTACCGTATCTTTCCACTTCCGCTAGTAGTTTTCTTTTGCGAAATTTCTGTTTTCCTCCGATTCGGAAAGGTCTAAATGAGTTGCAAATTACTTCAAAAGCATACTGGTTCAACCCACCAAAGAGGTTTTATTCTCTTCGTTTCACCTACTCGCTCACACAGGAATCGATTTGAATTTTCCCATAGTCAGTCACCCCACATCATTTAAAAATAAAATTTTACTTTTTCTTTGCTTCCAATTAGTACTAGTGGTAGTTTGCAAAGTGACTATTCAACGCTATGAACTCTGTTGACTTACATTTCTC